TAGAGTAAAATTCACATATAAAAATCAACAGATTTCATAAGCATAAACAAAGAAAAAACTAGAGAACATAATGACAGATAAAATTCCACTTACAATGGCAACAAAAAAGATCACCTACTTAGGAAGAAATTAACAAGAATTATATACAATGTATATGAAGAAATTTTTCAAATTCTTCTGAAAGAGACAAAAGTTGACTTCCAGAARCGTTATACATTCCTTCTCCTTACCTGGAACAACTCATCATTATAAAAATGCCAATTCTCTCCCAATTGAATTTATAAATTTAATACCATCCAATAAAAATATCAATAGTTATTTTTTGACATAAACAAGTTGAGAACAAAATTTCACATGGAGAAAYAAACATGCAAGAATAGTTTTGAGACCATTGTAAGAGAAAAACTTACAATGAAAAACTTACAATTAAGTGGAAAACCTAGCCCAATGAGACATTAAAAATACCACAAAGTCTTTATAATTAAAAAAGCATAGAATTTGCAACTAAATAGTGGAATAGAGAGTAAAGTTCAGTATTATTACAAATACATAAAGAAATTTAGTATACAAACAGGTGTCATCTCAAATAATTGGGGGAAAGACACCTTTTTAATAAAAAGCACAGAGTAGTCATTTGAAAAACKCAAAACTTATATCCACATCTCACACTACACACAAGAATAAACTCCAATGGGTCATGAATAAAAATGTGGAAAATATAAATATGAGAAATCTTAGACAACTTTCTCCTTCCTTTGTAYAAGGAATTCTAACAATGACTTAAAATCCAAGACAATCTCCCCCAAAAAGATTAATAAAAGTAACATTAAATATTTTTAAGTKCATGACAAATGAAGTCAAGTCAACTGACATGTTGAGAGAAAATATTCATAYGTCTTTTATATGCAAAGAGTTAATATTTGTAACATGTAAAAACAGTTCAGAGTCAAACCCAAAAATGCCTGCAAAAATCAGTTTTTTTATTCCTTCTTCCAGTAGGAACTTTGACAATACCTAACTAAACTTTATCTCCACTTATCTTTTCTTTCAGCATGCTATTTCTAGAGTCTATTCTGAAGATAAACCTCCAACAGTACAAAAATACACATGATATGGTTATTCATTAGAGCATAGATTGTAATTTCAAAGTATTAAAAAACAAAATAAATCMTATTCCTAAGAGAATAACTAAAATAAATATACAGTATATTCATACCTAGAAGTACTATGCAGCTATATAACATAATGCTGATATGTATAAACTGTTTTAAAATGATTTCCAAAATATTCTATTAAGTGCAAAAAGATAGGAAAATACTAATTAATACCTATAAGATATTGTAATAGGTGAACAAGAAAAATTAATCTAAATAACTTTGAAAAACAGTATATTGRCATATTTAAGAGCTACAGATAAAACTATTTATGCAAAAGTTCTTYAATCTGCTTACGGAATGTTTCCCACAGGATAAAGTTGACAATTCTAAAACTAGTTTATGTGTGTACCAGAATTGAACAAATAAGTACATATATTGCAGACAATGAAAGCTGGATTTCTCACAATTCAAGAAAGAAATTACAGATAAAGGAAAGAATAAAATGAACATATGGAATTGAATTGAAGTGAAAGAAAACAGTATGAACACATGATATTTAATATAGAAAGGTAAGTAGGTAAATACCAAGGTGGAAATTCAGATAATTAAAATATAGACATTTGCACACACAAGGATTAGTATACATACATTTACCAACTCTGTCTTCTGGGAAGACCTATTAGCAATGATACTTCAGTAGCAATGAACARAGTTCCCATATCTGGGCTTCTTTTTGCCATTTTCCAATAAAAACAACCAGAACCCATAGGATAAATGATTAATTTCAGGGCTGGGACAGGAAAAATGTAAGACAAGACCAGAACATTTGGGGATTTCAAAAAGTAGGAAAATGCCCCAAAAGATTAAAGTCTTATAGAGGAAGCCAGGTGCCAACCTGGAGGAGCTTCCAATGTTCAAACCTGGAACAATCTGAACACTAAAATAATTATAATACTGGATTTTAACTTATAATATAAATACCCATTAGTCCACATTGACATAATTAACCAAATAAACAAACAAATTGCAGAATTAGGACTGCTCTCTTGAAATAGAATTCCAGTTATGGAACATAGCAAAGAGTGAAATAGAAAATCAGCATTAGGCAAAAATATCCAAAATAACTGCACAAAAGTTTCACTGATGGTGGCTAGAATTAGTTAGCAAAAGTGTAAGAAAAAACATAATTTGCATCGTCACAAAGAATATTACTGAAAATATTTATGAACTCTAAAGGGAAAATAATAACTTCTCACCAGGAAAAAGCTCTCAAGGGACCAAGCAACTTAGCCAATATTAAGACACACCAACATCATGAGCTCTGCTATGATGCACTAAGAGCACAGAATTAATTCAGTGACWTTCTTGCTAAAAATGCATAACCTCATTCCAAACAGTAAAGGACATCAGGCAAGCCCAATCTGAAGGATATTTTAAACACAACATCAATACTCTTCAAAACTGTCAAGGTCATGAAAGGCAAGGAAWGTTTGAGAATGATTACAGAGTGGWAGGGACCGGGAAGACATAGCAATTAAGTAAATGGGGTATCCTATATACAATTCTAAATCAGAAAAAGTATATTAGTCACAAAAATAAGTGAAATTCAAATAAGATCTGAAACTTAGTTAACAGTAMCATCCCAATGTTAATTTCCTGGTTTTGATTAATGCACATGGCTACATTAGAAATTAACATCAGGGCAGGGCATGCACAAGGCCCTGGGTTCAATCCCCAGCACCACAAAAAAAAGAAAAAAAAAAGAAAAGAAAAAGAAAGAAAGAAATTAGCATCAGGGAAAGATTGGGGGGGGAAAGGAATTATGAAAAATCTTCATATTTTTAAACTTTTTTACAATTAAAAAATCAGTTCAAATAAAAAATTTAAAGTTTCATTACCTCTTTCATCATCTTTTCCCATTTTAAATTTCCCAAAACAGGTTCTAAGGCTAAAACTCTGCATTTTTCCAATTGTTTAAGCAGGGTTTTGTAAGTCTTGAAAATGTTCCTTGAATTCTACAAGACAGAGAAAAGTCAGATAAATTGCCATAAATCAAACATATAATTATTTTCCAACTACAGAAAATCAGATACTTAAGGTATAATTATGTTATAATATATTTTCAGTAAAAATAGAAACTGTACTAACGTAATTGCAGATGGTCAGCAATGTTTTG